GGGTAATGCATAAAGCTATGAGAATAAAGGGAAAACTGCAGTTGAAGCTCCAAAAAATTAGTAATGCCAGAACATGGAACATCTTCCTAGGAAGGCTATCTGCAATGAGCAGAGCTAACCCAAGGGAGTGGTTATATGGTCTGTAGCCACAAAGATCATACATAGCACTGTGGGTCCCCAAGCCCTTGGTAGTTTACATCATGCCAACTTGTGTCTCAGATGCCAGACATAGGGCTACAGAACTTAATGTTGGCCCTGTTGTGTTTTGGTCGTTATTATCTAAATTCTCCATTGTATTCTACTATTGTTTTCTCTTGGACTGGGAATATTTGCCTTGTGTCTGTGCTACTATTGTATGTTAGAAATATGTAACTAGTTCTTGAGCTTTACAGTGGCTCATGGTTACAGTTTGCTTTCAGTCTCAGAGGAGACTTGGACTTGAACTTCTGAGCAGTGTTGGAACTCTTCAGACTGGGAACTACTGTAGAAGACTAAATGCATTTGCTTTATGAGATACATATAAGCCTTTGGGACCCTGGAGTGAACTTTGTAGTTTGGCTCTGGAATGTTCCCCAATGACTTAATGTTGAAGAATTGGTCCCCAGTTGGTGGCACTACTGGAAGGTGGTGCCTTCAGGAGGTGAAGTCTTTTTAGAGAAACTGGGTCACTGGGGATGTGCCTTTGAAGGTTAGCCCTTTGTCGCCCTTTTCCTCTTTCCCTGTCCTTACTCTCCCCTCCTTCCTTTCCTCTTACCTCCCTTTTCTTCTTTTCTCCTCCCCTGTCCTCTCTTCCTCTCTCCCTCTTCTTCCTGATTGACATGAAGTGAGCAGCTTTCCTTAACCACATCCTTCCATCATTATGTTTCTGCCTGGATAACTGACGATGGACTGAAATTTCTGAAACTATGTACCAAAGTACATTTTTGTTCCTTTCAGTTGACTTTCTCAGGTATTTTGGCACATCAACAGAAAGCTAACAAGCATGGTTTTCTTTTCTATAGGGAGGCCTCTGTGATGCTCCCTCTTTTCCAGTCATGTGAAACCTCTACACAGTTGCTTCTTATGTTTTGTCTCCTTTTATGGTTGTTTATAGGGAGATGATTTGTTTAGGCAGCTAGTCCACCATGGGCTGTTTCTTGTGGATGATTTTAGCTTTTAAAAATAAAAATAGGTTTATGGCAGTTCACATTTCAAACCTATTCTCATATGTTCTGTTTACCTTAAGGTCTTACTCTAATTAAAATCATTTGAAGAGACCTTTTTGTAATTTGTTTACTAAAACATTTTAAACTTCATTTATAAACATAATATCCAGGTTTTTGTTTTGCTTTGTTTTTTTGTTTCTATTTTGAGACAGGGTCTCACTGTGTAACCTAGGCTGGCCTCAAAGTCTTGGTGATATTCCAGCCTCAGCCTCCTCACTGCTGGAATTACTGGTGTGTACTACCACAACAAGCAATACCTAGTTTTTGCTTTAAAGTGTTAAACTACTTGACAATGGTTAGACTTGTTTAATCATTTTCATAATCAGTTTTAAATCTTCCTAGAATTTATATATGTTTTTCCATTGGAAATGATTATGTCCTTGCAAACAGTTGGGGAGTTTATCTTCTCAGCTGACTGAAGACAAATAACAGTCAGAGATTTAAAATCTGTCTGGAGGTATAAATGTAGAGAAATTTCTGCTGCCCTGACTGCTTGGCTAAGCCCCTTTAGATACATAATGTGAACTCAAAATTTAAAAGAAAAAATACAGGGGATATGATGATGATCATGTACTCTTTCCCTTTACTTAAGTTGTACCATAAAATGCTATGCAAGCCACACATGTCTAGCTTTCATCTATGTTTTTCCTGCTTACTGAGTTTTGAGTAATTTTCATACTCCTAACCCTATGTTTACTGGGAATTGATGTGACATTAATTGGAAAGTATGTATTCATTGTTGTATCTGTCTCCCACTATTGGTTCTAATGATTGTGATGATTTTCCGGGAAAGGAAATTTACCATAGCATTATGGTTTTAAAAATTTAGCTTAATTTTCTTGTTACCTAGGGTTTACAATCTTATTTGTCTGGACTGTCAACTTTCTGTTGCTGTTTATTTAACAGAAAAGCAGCAAGTCTCAGGATGTCTTCCAGTGACAGCCAGATTTCTATATCAATGTCAGAAGAACAGTGTATGACCTCCAGTGATCTGAATACATGTACTGAAGGGCCTGTGTTAAGTTTCCATAACATTTACTATCAAGTGAAAGTGAAGCATGGCTTTCTACCTTGTTGGAAAACAGATGTGAAAGAAATACTGTCAAATGTCAGGTATGTGCCTAACTTTTTTTTAAAAGGCTTTTTTGTTGACCTACTATAAATTTTACAAGTTTGGCCTGTTAACAGTAAGCTGCTATAAATATGTGTACAAATCTTTGTACAGATATTTAGGCATACAATTTTGTTTTTTTTAGGTATACGAGATCTAAATGATCACTTGTTAAGTAGAAGTTTCACTTCGAAAAAAATTTGAAAACTGATTTAAAAATGGTTGTACAATGTGCATTGAGTTGTTCTTGTATTTTTGTGGATAGAGATTTCACAATATGATTTAAAGACATTTATTTATTCAACCACAAATATCTTTTGTGATACTGGAAATTGAACCAAAGGCTATCCCATTGAGCTACATCCCAGCCATTATTTCATTTTTTATTTTGAGACAAGTTCTTGCTATGTTGCCCAAGCTGGGCTGAGACTTGTGGCCTTCCTGCCTCAACGTACCAGAGTACTGAGCTTATAAGCATGAGGCACTAGGCCTGGCCGGTTAAACACATTTTGAATGATTACTAGGTCCCTGGTGTTGTGCAAATAGCTAGTGATCCAGATATATCCTCTGTTTTTCAGAAACCTTGTCATCTGATGGGGAATTCAGAAAACAGTACCATCACTATATTATTCTGGTGTTATAGAAGGATTTAAAGAAACAATGTAAACCCCCAACCCTAAATTCGATATCGAGGAACATGGAGTTTAAGAAAGCAAAAATGCTATGTGTATGTGTGAGTGTAGGAAGGAGGGCCGTGCTCCATTAATGGCATTGACAGTGTTCTAATGTTCAAAACGAAATCAAAAGATTGATTATTACTCTCTAAACTGTAACAGATGTGACAGGAATTTTGGGGGTGACTTTCATTTCATGTGTTCAGTATTCAGTGTGCTATATGTTATAGGATAGGGAAGTAGTAACATTGTTAGGAATATTTTCTAGTAGAATGAGAGAGAATTACCGCTGACAAATTCTGTAGAGCAGTGGCCTAGTGTGAGCATGACTTGTGACAGGTAATAGAAGTGTAGAAGATAGGTGGGGAGACCCTGCCATTGTACATTATTGTTACTTTCTGTAAT